TTTTTTTTAAAGATTTATTTATTTACTTTATTTATGAATATACTGTAGCTGTCTTCAGACACACCAGAAGAGGGCATCCAATCTCATTACGGATGGTTGTGAGCCACCATGTGGTTGCTGGGATTTGAACTCAGGACCTCTGGAAGAGCAGTCAGTGCTCTTAACCACTGAGCCATCTCTCCAGCCCCCCTTTTCAGTATTTCTAATGCCTGCAGGCATATGGAAAGAAATCCTCCCCTCCCTTAGTACCCTTCTTTTCCATGATGGCTCTGTGGGTCTGACATAGGAGTTCTCTCTTAGAAGAGTGTGTGTGTGTGTGTGTGTATTGAATGTATATGTGTGTGTGTGTGTGTGTGTGTGCACATGCCCATGCATATTCATGTTTGTGTGTCAAGGTTTCCAATTAAAAACGACTGGAAAGTGTGCAAAGTGATGAAGGATTTAATAGATGTTCCATAGAATGAATGGGTAGGCAGAAAGAAATGCCTGGGGCCTCCTGGCAACACAGTATCAATCACTCTCTTCTCTTAGGTTCTTTCTAGTTCTGTACTATTCCAGCCGATGAATTTGAGTAAAACTCTCAGCCATGTTGGTCCACTATAAAATACACAGAATATAATTTCACCACATTTTTTTTGTGGCCCTTTATCCCAATAACTCAAATAATATAATTTAAAATCCTAAGCCAAGGTAGTTAGGGCTCATGAACCGTTGAGATGACGATGAGAAGCGATGGAAACAGTGTAGCAGATTTAAACAGAGTGCTCAAGCGTACGATGAGAAGCGATGGAAACAGTGTAGCAGATCTAACTTCACACCTGGCAACATTCAACAGCCCTTCAAAAGACAGAGAAGCACGCTCTCTAACAAGCCAACTTCACAAATCCATAATTTCATTATTAACAGACTACATAGAGAATGTCTACTCTAAAATGTCTATTTTTTTTCCATCAGGATCAGAGCTAAAACCAAACTGTACTTCTTGAAAATGTAGGTAAGGTTTCCAAGAGTTAAACATAACAGACTTAACAGCAAAGGCAGGAAGACTGAAATTATAATCTGAACCAGGCAAACTGTTTCATAACAGAAAATGTGGCACTTAATGTAGTCTGCAGAAGACAGTATACTAGAGACACTTGTTATGGCCATAGCAAGCCCCTAGAGAATGAGGCTTGCCAAACAAAAGAATTCAAAACAGGTAGGGAATGAGTAGCCATGTCAGCATACAAAGCCACCAAAGATCGGATTAAAAGCACAAAAATGACATGCTATGATCAGTCCTCTCTACAGCTCCTTCTACAACAGGTTTTACTTTGGGTTCCTTGGGTAGGTTTGCCAGCTGATAGGACAGACTGCTTCTCTACGTCAAATAAATATGGAAAACTCACACTGAAAAGTCTTGGCTCAGTTCACATGGGTGGAACATCAATGCCCCCACCCCTGTAGTCTCATGTATTTGAATGCTCAGTCACCAGGGAGTGGCACTATTTGAGAAAGATTAAGAGGTGTGGCCTTATTAGAGGAAATGTGTCACTGCTGGTGGGCTCTGGGGTCTCAAAAGCCCATTCTAGACCCATTTCTCTCTCATAGGATGTAGCTCTCAGCTCCTGCTTCAGCCCCATGCCTGCCTGCATACCACCATGCTCCTTGCCATGATGATAACGGACTAAACCTCTGAAACTGTAAGCCAGACCCCACTTAAATGCTTTCTCTTAGCCGTTCGGTGGTGGAGCACACCTTTAATCCCAGCACTTGGGAGGCAGAGATAGGCGGATTTCTGAGTTCGAGGCTAGCCTGGTCTACAGAGTGAGTTCCAGGACAGCCAGGGCTACACAGAGAAACCCCCTCTGGCCCCCCCCCCCCCCCCCCCCCAAAAAAAAAACAGGACAAGAGAAAAACAAAAGACCTTGGTACTCAATTCCTCCGGAAAACAAGTGTTGACCAGCAAATGCTTTAGCTGGATTTAAGGAGTGACAGATCATAGCAAAGTGTTGTTTATAATAAGAAATTTGAAGGCTTACAAAGATGGTAAAAGTCCAAATAACCACAAAGAGACAATTCTTAAGAGTGAAGAAGTGCTGACAGTGTCTCAGAATATTGAACAGGATGGGCAAGATGGCGCAGCAGGTTAAGGCACTTCCCACCAAGCCTAGAGACCTGAGGTTAATTCCTGGGACCCAGGGTAAGAGGAGGAAACTCACTTCACCATGTTGTTCTCTGACTGTCATGTGCATGTGTGCACATACACACACATACATACACACCACAAATAAATAAATAAAATGAAAACAAGTCTACATACTTTCATCAGAAAACAATTGCAGTTGAAATTATGAAAGAATCTATGAGATATCAGTGAATGGCTTGGCTGGGACTTGAGGGCCGGGATGAAATGTACTAATAACAAGTAAGAATACAAAGACTACCTGCTTCATGCTTCATTAACACCTTCTCCACCAAACACCAAATGTGCAATTTTGGCACACTCTTACTTCATTCAATAAAACAAACTTCAAAACAGCAAACAGCAAAAGAAATTTGTTTCTTTTTAAAATCAGGAATTTAAAAAGTACTTACATCTGAACTCATACTTCTGGTGCCACTCTGTAGAACAGGTTTAGTCACAGAAAGTTTTCCGTTCACCGGGCTGTTCACCACAGGGGCTGGCACCACATTCACCACATGGTTAGGTAGCTGTGTGGCTCCTCCAGTGACAGCAAGAACTGGCTGAGCAGACGGCAGAACTCCAGGGGTCTGAAGCTGAACCACAGTAGGCTGAGAGAGCAGAACAGTCTGACCTGGGTTAGAAAAATGAAAAGGAGTCAATGAGCACATAACTCTGTAACGGAGTAGCCTGACATCCAGCTCCGTTTCACAGAGAAACAGAGAACTTCACACCAACAGATAAGACACCACAGAGACAACACATTCAGGGGGACTCTATGTTGTATTTTTAATGGGACCAATTAAGTTCATCCTCTTTGAGCTATCACCAACAATCTATCTTCAGGGCAGTACGGTGGTACAAGTCCAAGTGGCTGAGAGGCTGAGGCAGGGGAACTACTCAAGCCCAGAAACCTGAGGACAGTTTGGACAACACAGCAAGACCCAACTGAAAAGAGTAAAAATTCAAAACAAACAAACAAATGCCAGGAGAGATGGCTCAGTGGTTAAGAATGCTTGCTGGTCTTCAAGAGAGACTGAATTTGATTTCCAGTACCCACATTGAGCAGCTCACAACTGCATATAACTCCAACTCCAGGGGTGTGGGCACCATCTTCGGGCCTCCTTGAGTAAGTATGTGTGGATGGGAGCGAACACACACACACACACACACACACACACACACACACACAATTTAAACAGTTTTTACAACCAGGCCTGACAATGCAGGCTGTAATTGTAGCCACTAAGGAGGCTGAATGAAGTAGGAGAATCAGAAGTTCATTCAGACTCTCATCTCACAAAGTACATAAACAAAGGACCAAGGATGCAGCTCAGTGCAAAAGGTTTGCCTAGAAATGCACAGGGCTGCAGAGGGCTTGCCTAGGATGCAGCTCAGTGCAGGGGGCTTGCCTA